CACAACTTGAAAGCAAAGAAGCAATCTGAAGGCCACATAATTCTCTTCCATAGCTGATGGTAAAACATATGCTGACGCATTTTCCACTTCATGATGGAATTGCAACCACTGATTTCCAGCAATCCAGTCTGTAACAGACTTTTATAAACTGAATATTTGCTAATTGTAAGAAACTGCCACTGAGGAGAATTCTCTTTGTATTCCTTTCAGATGCAGAGGTTTTAACAGATTTAGAAAGAAAAAGGAAAGGAAAAGGACTGAATTATCTAAATTACTAAAATTGCACTTTGTGATCCTAATTAATTTTGCTCATTTAATCATTTTGCTCATGCATGGGAATCATGGCATTTTGCTCAGGTACTGATGGCTCAGAGTCTTCATTGTCATTGACAATATCCTCCTTTACCATTGTTGCAAACCTAAGGGAAGCAATAAAGATAGAAAAGTTTGAGAGAAGCAAATAATACTCTTTTCCAGATAGAATGCTTCTCAGTGATGTTGCCTCCTTCCCCATAGATGAGCTGATAAAACCCTCACAGCTCAATTTGGAATTCAATGGTTTTGCATGCATGTGTATACTGTACATAAGAGAGACAGAAACTAACAGACGAACAATATCAAGAATACAAAGTCAAGCACTACAAAAAAACTATTTTAAAAAAATGAGTTTTAGAATCATGGTGATCTGTGCTAACCTGTTATTTCCTTCCTAAAAGCATGGCTACAATATTTATGTATATTTGTACCTCCTATAAGCACAAAAGTTATTTGCTGTCAACACCACTTAACCAAGACCACCAGTTCTCAGTGTCACAGGCCCTGTGTGCATGGCACTGCAAGCAACCACCTCATAAAGCTCAAAACAACTGCTGTAGTTTCTAAAGCATACACACAAGGGATACTTTTTCAAGGAGGCAGTTTTGTTAGATGCCAGCACTCGCAAGCACACTGACCGAATACTTAAGAAACAGAAGATGCCTATTTGAATAAAGATCAGGACTATGCACAACTTGCAGTCAGGTGAGACAGACAAAACAGGTCTCATTTTTACTAGTTACATCCTATGCTTCTAAGAGTAGGAAATAAGGTCCAACCTGTTTGTGGGTATTTGTCATTGCATTTACTCAGTCTAACTGGTCCATTTATTGTCCTGTAGATGCTAACAAGAAATATAGCAGTGTACTGTTCTGTATGCCAGAATGTTTGTTGTGCAAATCTTTACTGGAGTTTCACAAGTCTGAGTCAGCAAGATTCACATGCACACATCTGAAGACAAGACTTGCTAGGGTTCTCTGTTACAGCAAAGGTGTGCATATATTCTCCACCAACTACACTTCAGTCTTAATAGAATTTTCTTGAAGTATTTTACATTTTTTCTGGCCATAGAAAACACCACTCAGGTTAAACCAGAACATTTGAGCCAAGAAATTTCTTCCTTGCTAAATGATAGGAAGCAAATCAGAGAGCTTATTCTCACAATTATAAAGCTTTCAGTTTGTAATACGTTTGATACTTGGGAACAATTGACACCATGAACAAAGACATGGGCTATTTTAACACCTGGGTGGTTTTGTCTGAGTTGTTCTGATATGAAACTGGCTTGAGACATGGAAAAGAATAGAGAGCCATAGGCAAACACATTCAATATGTTCTAAGGCAGTATTTTTTGCTTTCTTCCTTTTAAAATGTAAAGTATTAATTACTCAAATTCCAGTACATTTATATATTTTTAATTATTACTTGTGGAACCAAATAGCTGTGGTCTCAAGAGTTTTTAAAGGAAATGAATTGATGCTTTTGGCTTTTTCATAGGATTGTTCATCTTTTCATTAGGGCTAAGAATCCACAAATGCCAGTCTAACTGGAACAGAAAGTTATCAGCAACCCACCAGTGCCTCCCCTCCTTTCCTTCACTGACCACTTCTCCAGGGTATACATTCCTAATTTTTTACTTCTGAAATGGGTGCCTGTGGGTAAGGGACAGAAAGGTATTACTCTCTATCCATCTCTGCATGGACAACATCCCAGTTCTTAGGGTCAGGTAGTTGCTGATACAATATACATTCATAATTCTGAGACACCCAGGCCCATCTCACAACAGCTTCAGCTCCTCAATGTGCTGCTCACATGGGAAAGATGGACTAAGCAAGGAGAAAGGATGTTCTGCTTAGCAGGAAT